ATATATATACAGTATATATATACAGTATATATATAAAGGTGAGTCATGCCAATTTATGTTTGTATCGAAGACGTAGCCCTTCATGTTGCTCGGTACCCCAAAAGTAGCTCTCAGTCTCAAAAAGTTTGGTGACCCCTGGACTAAATCAAATATGCTCTGCTAAAAAGCTATAAAAATTCATCTCCCTCTTGTGGTGCCCCCTAAATGGTCGGCGCCCTTAGCATTTGCCTATACTGCCTATATCACAGGCCGGCCATGGTCCCAGCTAGAACCACACCAAATTTTAGCTCAACATCTGTGAACCTGACTGAGTTACAGACACTTCTGTATTTCTTAATTAAGATTAGCAGTGGTAGCTTTCTTAAATGGGGTTGACTCCATTTGGTTTGATGTAAATCTAATGATTACTTTCTGAGAGTTTCATCACCATGGCATGTTTTGCTAACAGACAGACAACATGCTCACAGACACACACAGTCAATTAAATAATTACTCAGTTTTCATGGCAGTAGGCAGTAATGAGCTGAAACTGTAATGACAGCTCAAGTAACGCCTGTTTCCACTTTGTGACAGCTCTTCAAGTTCTTCAAGTCCATTTCTGAACCCTTGACCATGCTTAGCTCATCAGGGCTCAAGTGACTTTCAGGTGATTTGCTAAACAGAAAATTGTCACTTGACTGTCCTTTAGAGCTCTTACAGTTTGTATGAGTCGTTGTTTATAATTAGCAGCTGTTCCAAGCTTTTTGTTTTCCTGGAGAGATCAGAAGGAAAGGAACTAAAATGTGGTGCATGTTTGTATTTAGGCAGCAATTATACTCTTAAAATCTGGATGACAACGAGAATGGGAGAGCTCACGCAGAGAGGAAAACAAGGGAGCTTTGAGAGTGATTTGAGTGGAAATGAAGAGTGAGTGGCTGAGTATCTAAATAAAAAAAATGGAGACCACATCCAGACTGGCCGTATGTGTTTAAGTAGAGCAGTGTTTTGTGTTTATTATTAATGTTGACCTGATAGCTTGCATCCTATAAAGGTTCTGGCTTCCTCAAAAGCAAATAAGGCTAATTTTTTTGATAATTGTTTGCAAACAATATATACAGATTAGACTTATTTTAGACAAAGAATGATGTGTTGCAGCAACCACAAGTTACAGAATGAGCTATAAATCATGAAAAAATATTCTCCAATTTACATACATATTTATGTACCAAACCTTTAGCTTTTATGAATTTCAATTTTTTTAGTTCTTGTTTTAGCTAAGACAACATTTTTAAAACAGCATATTGCATAACAGAGACAACACGGCACTGACATTGCGCAAAAAGCTARAAGTACCGTATTTTTTGGACTATAAGTCGCACAATATGAGGCTAATGACGGTGAGCTAATGTTAGCTTGTTGATGGTAACTTGCTTTTCAGTAACTTGCTGCGGATGTTGTTTAGTTGAACTCGTGTGAAGGAAAAAGTTACAGTTGTTGCAAACAGTTCATGTAAAGTTACTCTCACCTGTGTCATCTGTATTATAAAAGGCTTTATTCAACATCCCAGGCAGGAGCCATGTTCTCAGTGTTATTGTGTTATTCCAGATTAAATGTCTGTCCTGGTTTATAACCAGGAGTGACTTATCTATAGTTTCTTCATCTTCATGACACATTTTTTGACTGTCATGACATATAATCCGAAGCGATTTATAGTCCAGAAMATATGGTAATCTGTAATTYTGATGTCATCCATTGTGARTCTCTGCATCCAGAATACTTTGTTTGGATAWGTGTTCTGATGTGGTCAGTTTAGCTATCATGTAATTTTGCCTGATAAATTAGATCAGTTTTTTTTTTCAAAATGACAATTCCTGAAAAGCTTTGTGACCTCAAACATTCTTGCTTGAACCACACAAACACTGCAGATAAAGAAAACCAACAAATTAATAAAGGCAACACAAATTGTACAGATTTAATTGGATAAATTTGCTTTCTTTCCTGTAACAATTATAGTAGAAATACACTAGAAGGAACTATTTATGCATTTAGTTTGATATCTGGAGATCATCGCAGCGTTTGTGACTCACAGTAAAGTCTGCACGCTAACTTTAGTAACAACTGAGTTAAACAGCTCTGTCTGACTCAAGAGGTGTTTTGTTTCCTTTTCCCCCCATAGCTCATATGTTTGAACAACCATTTGTATCTTCTGTGCTAGACACCTGATTTGATCAGTGGTTCTGGGCATATTCACACCTGCACTGTTTGGTCCGATTTAATCGAACTCTAGTTCGTTTGCCTGGAAAGTCTGGTTCGTTTGTGGAGGTGTGAATGCGTAATCGAACTCTGGTTCGCCTGATAACCTAGGTCTCGGTTCGATTGAAACAAACTCTGTTCGATTRCATGTGTGAACGCTAAGCGGACCAGAGACCGCTCCAAAAGCAGGAAGCGGACTATACCGCATGACATTCTGAGTAATAACAGTAATAAATTCACTTATATGGTGTAAATACCTTGCTGGACGACTGTATAAGGTGGACATCATGACTATGGAGTTGGACGTGCTCCTAGTGTGCAAAACAACATTCTCCGTGGTTCCGCCTCATCTTCCTCTCACGCTGAGCTCATTGTTGAAGACTATTTGTTTAGCACATTTGCCAAAAAAAAAAAAACTATAACCACTAAAATGTAACGTTACTATTGTTTGTTTACGTTTTGTGAAGAAGGAAGTTGCGCTCCATGTCGTCTTCTGAGGTTTTCATGTTGACTCCTTTAGTGGYTCTTTGTGCAGCGCCCCCACAGGTGAGGGCGGGAACAGGTTGTTCACAGGGTTTAGTTCGGTTGAGAAAGTGCAGTGTGAATTCAAACCGCACCAACAGAAAATGTAAACAAAGCTTGCAGTTTTGGTCCCGAATCGAACCGAGTCTACCGGACTATCAGGTGTGAATATGACCTAATTCTGAAGTAATTTGATCAGATCTGTGGTACAATGTGTAGTAATGTTAAATATACTGTATTATGTTCATGTTTGGTAATGATTCTAATGGAAAATAATGTTTTTTTTTTCAAATCTGTTTTGAGAACAAAACAGCAAATCCAGATGATTCCTTATATTCATTGATCCTTACTGATTTCTGTGTTATTTTAGACAAGCAGCACTGCTGCAAAGAAGATTAAATTAAAATCATAATAATAAAAAACTATTTCAAACCTCTCCTTAAAAATCTTTCGACAACTTCTATGTGTTTTCTGCACACTCTCGTTTCAGAGAGGAGAAACAAAGGAGACAAACAGGATGATACGAACAAGGGGGAGAAGGAGAACACACGTGGGCGAGGACGAGAAGGCAGAGGAGGAGGAAGAGGAGGAGGAAAGAAGAGGAGAAAAGGCCAGATCAGGACCACCACTGCTCCCAGTGTCACATCCAGTGCTGTCACCTAAACTTGGAGGCCTACCAAAGTGAGGCTAAAAGAAAAAAAGAAAAACTGAGACAATGCCTCACCCAACAGCACCGGCCACACAGAGCTGAGAGAAGGATTTACTGCTGCTACGCTGCATTGTGGAAGATGCAAAGAGAACTGGAGGACTGCTGCAACAAAGGATGCTTTTTGAAGCTTTTTGAACATATCTTGTGAAGACTTGTGTCTTTGTGTTTCTCGGTGGTTTCCAGCTGAAATCACAGTTGGATCGCAAAAGCCACACTGCAAACTGTGGTCGGATTTGGTTTGCATCATGAACAGACTGACAGGTTTTGTTTTTCAAATGCAACATTTTAGCTGGAAGGTTCATGCTGTTATAAAGGTTTCTGAAGTCACTTTAGGCCAATGGTTTATTTTATTCCAATCTGTTTTTAATCACAGTAAACCGCATTTCATTTGTTTTTGTGTTTTTGGAGAGGTGGCAGATGGAGTTCCTCAACAGCCGCAGTGTGTGATGTCAAAACAATGAACAGTATTATGTCTTGATACCATATTTTCCCATTGTGAGATGAAACAAAAATGAAGGCACTGGAAATAGTTTGGGCTTGTTGAGGATAGAAGGTTTTCTGTATCTGGTCATGAGGAAAGAATCTGGTACAAAGCAGGCTTAAATCTCCTAAACTCATATCCTTCATATCCATAATCCATATCCTCCTGTGATTTCTTCACAAAAACTTGCCTTTTTTTGTTTGTTTTTCGTGATGACTTTGAATAAAATGTCGTACCTGACAAAAATATCYGCACAGACATGAATATTTGCATGTTTTTAAGTCGCATGTGTGTAAGTGTGTATATGCGAGTGTTTGTCTCAGCCTCAGCGTAGTCTACATGCATTTCTGCACGGATTACAATTCTGTGTTGACAGAGCTTTGATGTGTGTTTGCACTTATGGTGTTAATATTTGTCTCATAGACTGAAGAAAGAGGGTCTGGAAAACAAGAAAAAAAGTTACATGTAAATGCACAGTTATATACCAAATCCCAGTAAGTACTCGGTGTTGCGTATGCCATCAAATCATCAGCTCTTCAGTAATCAGTATGTCTGCAACAGGGTCTGAAGATTTTGCACAACTGTAATTTTTCTCATATTTCAGAACAAACATTTGACTGTTTTCCAAAGCGCTGCAAGAAAGTTGTTACTTCTTAGAAAGTTTTCCAAGTTTTAAAAGAGATGTAAGTTTCTGGAGGTTTTATGCTACATTATTTTCATACTCTGGATTGTGATACTAAATGTGTCAAGCTGTGTTTATCAGTATTAGTATCATGTATAGCCTATTCTGTGAAAGCCTAAATAAAGTTCAGATGATGCAAATGTTTCTCTTTTATTATTAATACAATTAATATTATTATTATTGCTTTGAATAAGTTTCACTTTTCCTTTCAGATCATTGTGAAAAGTTGTTGAATACAATTAAATATACAAGAGAGATGA